AAACATTAGCATCGCTGGTCTTGGTGGTAGTCCAGTCGTGGCGCTAAACGGATCAATTGAATGCACTTTGTAATCACGTTTCGGCAACGTGAAGTCATCACAAAAGCCATCGTTGTGAATATAATCACTCCACCACTTCCAATGCAAATCTTACTGCATCCTTCTGATCGATATTTGCAGCACATCCTATGGAGAAGCAATCCGTCTGAAAGAATACAAGAAATGTAACTAAACACTGTCACTTATGGTACCCGATGAAGCACCTATCAGGCATTAAGAGTGCTCAAACAATTGGTAAAGGATGAAGGATCTAATTATCCCAAGGCAGCCAAAGTGTTAAATAGTTCAATATACGTCGATGACATAGTCAGTGGAGCCGACTCTGTTGAAGAAGCAGAAGCACTGGGTGAATTCTTTGAAAAAGGGAGATTAGCTTTAAGCAAATGGGCGTCCACTATATCCGAACTTCTGCAGAAGACACTAAAATCACTTCCATTCAACTTCGTCAAGATGAGATGGAATCTATTATGATCTTAGGCCTCATATGGAATCATCTTCCAGACAAATTTTCTTAAAATGTAAAATCAGATTATCCCTGATGATTCCTGAAGAGGCCAAAGTTTGGATAAATTTGAAATAAAGTAATTTTTATATTGAGACTGAAATTGTAGATAGCTAAAGTTGTATTGAAGTTACAACATTTGTTGTGATTTTCGACAAAAAATCGTGAGAGGGACACAAACATTAAGCCTAGAAAGATAGCCGGGCTTGTGCAAATTGTTTTCTTCGCTTCTCTGCGACACATTTAGGGCCATAGCAATCTCTTGCACTGATTGGGTGGGATATTGATCAACAATGGCCTTAACATTGCTCGTTTCAATTTCATTTGGGCAATCTGACCGTTGAGCATCATTGATGTCAAAATTTCTTGAATGAAATTTGGCAAGCCAATTTTGACAGGTGCGTTCGGTTAAGGCATCGTCCTCATGAACACTGCAAATTTTCCTATCAGCTTCTGACACATGCTTACTTTTTTTAAAATAATACAACAAAATATACCGATAATGAATGATATGTTCTTCCATATTCACTTTGCAATAGTTAATACAATACTAAACTAGTTTCAACAAGAGTTAGCAGATATAGTTGTTGGCATTAGAAACAGGACAAACAATAAACATAGAGACATAAAAATAAACTGAAAAACCGAAAGGATTTGCCAACTCCCAAAAAAAAAAATAAAAATAAACATATATATATATATACAAGGAGAATTTTTAGAAGTATTGGGAAAAAATTAATCTTAGAATAAATTTTATTTTATGTAGAATGTAAATCATTGATCTATGTACATTTATTTACACATTACGAAAATCTAGAGTTAATTTACTCATACCTAATTAACAGTTCAATACAATTACAAAAATCTTGTACTTGAAATATTATTTTTTACTTACACTATCTTACAAAACAAATATTACACATTTGTCATACAATCTATGTGATGCATTGTATATTGCATACCAATCAATACATGATACATAATATGGCTGATTTAAACATTTTACATCCGTACGCAGTCGCTATTTTTACCATATATATAATATAATAAATCTGTATATTATGGCCGGTAGGTAGGTACTATAGGGAGAAAATAATAGCTCTAACTTACCAGTTACTTTTCATTAATAGTGAGGCGAACACTACTTAAAGGAGAAGAGAACTTAATAAAGTTGAAATGGTTTTTTTTTTATGGTTTAATCAGGATTTTAAGAAAATATTAAGGCATGCTTTGTTTCTGATGGGCTGGAATGCAAAAAAAATAAATACATATAAATATTTTGAAATTTAATTTTTATATATTTGTATTACACATTTCGATTACCTTATTTTGACTGTTTATGTGCTAATTGGTGTTTTTAATAATTTATATTATTGATAGTGATGAAATTGATAGTATTAGTAATGTTTGAAAATAATTCAATGTTGGCGCATATTCATTGTTACACATTTTTCTAAAAAATTGCTTAGTTTATCTTGTTGATATTTTTCAAATGGATCAAGATTGGGTGCAACAATAATGTTTGAACAACAATAACAAAAAGTGATGAGATGAAATTTTATATGTGTCTTACCCGGTCTTTTTCTTAATTTTAATTCTCTTTAGAATTATCATTATCAAAACTCATTCCACCTTGATAGTCCTTTTTTTGAGGGGGGAGGAGGGAGGGGTCGGCTCTACAATAGCGCCGTAATTTAATCAAATTAAACTGAATATTAATAACAAATTGCATCCTCATTCTCATCATTATACCAATGAGATAGTAAATATTGTCCATCACCTAGCACAACAGGTTTTAACATGAATGTTGTGTTAATATGAATGGGAATACAATTCAACTGAGAAGATACGGCGTTAATTTCTAGAATCCTTTTTATGGATGAATGGAAATATAAGCCTTGTTCAAGTGAAGGACTAAAGATTCATTGCACTCAGATACTTGCCATAATTATATTTAGAATAATGTTAGAGAATGAGATTAATTGACGGCTGCGGCTGTAACCTTCCTTATGATAAACATTATAATTTATTTGCTTATTTTAATTATGTCATGGATTATGTAGGAAAGTGAGTTTGTTGAATAGTTTTTTATTGCCCGGCAAATATTCAAACTAAGACCTAACATGCTTTCCGACCCTATAACAACTGAAATTATTGGTTATCCAAATCAGGCAATACTTACAGCCAATTGTACATCTTTTCCAATACTTCATCTAGATTCACCAATTTACAACTTGTTTTAGCTCCGTAAAAATCTGGTCCTGGATAGCTTAGACCTCCAGCCAGCTGTTGAAATTGTTAAGTTTAAAAATGGTGAGGCTGTTGAGTAAAAAACAAATATGTTTATAGAATTTGCCGACATTTCAAAAAAACATGCTTCTTATTTTCTATAATATATAAGCTGTGACACTCAACTATGTCAACATTTGTTGATAATTTGGTTACAATTATAATAGTTACTATCATGTCACAGCTATTGAGAAACATGAACAAATATTGATTCCAAAGAGTCTGAATCAGCGGTGGCAGCCATCCATTTTTAATTATTGATGTAGTCACCTCAATGAATATTTCATAACAATTTTTAAACAATTGCGAAAAGTAGAAATATTAGCAGTGGAGCAACCTAAAATTTGAAATGATTCGCGATGAGCAATATCCTCTAAAAATGAAAAAAACAAGACGGAAAGAAGAAAGATTTTGTAACAATTCAGTTAAAACTGAAATCATTGGTTAGCCAGCCTCTTTTAAACAGGTTTTTCATTATTTCAATTAGGCACACGAGTTTATAATCTATTTTAGAGCCATGGAAATCTGGCTCTAGATAGCTCTGACCTGTAGCCTGGAATAGATGTTGGTAGTCAAGAGTCAAGAGAAGAAAGTAAAAAATAGTATTATGTCAACTTTTTCACCATTTGGGACCAATGTGCGGCGTCAGTTATAAAATTTGTACAGTCAAATGGTTGTCACACATGGAAATCAATTAGTCTTTTTTTTTTTTTTTATCTTTCTTTGAATGTCAAATCTCAATTTGATATTTGCGATAAACGAAATTTCTAATTTTGTTCCGAGATTTTCACCAAAGACAGCCAAATTTTCACTCATCTTTCAGATTTTTTGTGTGACTCTGACACTACGGATTTTATCGGAAAGAGTACTGTATACAAAGTCAAAGTATACAAAATTAAATTTAATGGCTAGTTTTTAATCTAGGTGAGGGTTTATGGAAAGTTGACAATTACTGTACTTGGCAAGAAACAGCTTCACCATTTTTCCTTTATTAATTTATAATATCGACATAGCTCAAACAAGTGTATTATATCCTATTTAAATGAACATCCCATTTCCTATAAATCTCATATAGAGGCCGTGATATAGGATAAAGTAAGCTGTTGTTAAAATACACGGTATTATAATATTTCGCTCCTGCACTAAAGTTAAACACACTTCCTCTTTTCTACTCTTTTAATTCGGCTAATTTAACTATTTTTAGTGAGTACTATACCGTATAAACAAATTATATGAGTTTTATATATTCTGTTGGCCTGATGGGTATTACACAATAACTGTGACATGTCTTACCTACAATAATCAGGCTTATGGCATATGTGAAAACATGTTGCTCAGGTATGTTGTTTAATGATTCATTATAAATTCCTCATGATATGAAAATTTGGATATTTCCCAAAAATAAAACGATATCGATACCATTCTGAACTATTAATTCTAGCCATATCTGCTATGCTTATTTTAAACATCTTTTTATTTATTTTTTAATATAATTTTCGCAACATTTTTATTTATTAATTTGATATTAGTGTTCTTCAGTAAAGTTCAAAACATTATTTTTATAGGTAATTGTACTTGATTAGATATTATGAACATGTTCCTTACATTAAGGTCAATTTTCCTTAATTATTGATCAAGTCATTTTAACTGATGCTTAAAATTTGATGATTAAACAACAATTTTTTATTTTTATCTACTGGTATAACGTTTCTCTTATTGTTAAATCAAATATTTAGTTTTAATAGTTTTCTATAATCAGTTAACATCAAACATGTATGTAATATTATATACATCATATAATATTACATACATATATTTAAAATGTAAAAAAATACCCTAGTTGTACAGAAATATAAATTAATCTTGTTTTTGGCCATTTATATATATATATATATATATATATATATATATATATATATATATATATATATATATATATATATATATATATATATATATATATAAATAAATATATATATATATAAATATATATTTAATCCATATTACAAGTTTACAACCTTAAAGTGGTTATTTCTTCTTTTTTTTTTTATCCAAAAACAATTTTTGGAATTTATCACATAACTCTGACTTAATTATTAGTGTAAACAATTAACATTAAATGAATAAAACTAGTCAGTCAGAACGGTGAGGAGAATTGATTGGTGAATTATGGCCATTGCTTTGGTGGGCGTTGGTCTCCCACGATATCGATGTCTTGGTCAGAGTCGTCGGTGGATGCTTCGTAGCTGTGGCCAATTGGGATTAGGCAACTCCCGCTCAATGAAAAGTCCATCGCTCTTGATGGATCTGAAACAAGTTCCAGAGATATTATTAAAAAAAAATGTTCTAGAATGAATGAATAACAGGAAATATCTTAAAATAAATAGATTTAGTATCACTTAGTATCAGACTCAATTAGTGGCTTTAAGAACTGTCCAAGAGACAGATTGTTGTAATACTCAATAAATAAATTAAAAAATTAAGAATATCTCTTTTCTCGTAGATCGTTGTTCAGTTTTAAAAGCTATCATTACGCCGTTATTTAAATTAGAGTGACCAATACTATATCTCACAATTCCAATATAGAAAATACATATATTGAAAAAAATGTTGACTGCTTGGTTGGTCACAGTTTTCTGATATAAATTCATAATTAACAAAATTTGTTAGTGCTTGGTATTTTTAATAAACAATTATCTACCCAAGGTAAAGTTTTTGGTCAAATCCAAGATACCGGACTTTATCGAAGAGAGGAAATGGTATAAAGTGATGTAGACTGGTGGACAGGAATTGACCCTTAGGGTAAAAGTAAATATATGATATCACAAGAATATACTACACAATGGTGAAAGTTGAGAAGCCATACCCCAAGAGAGACATCGTGCAGTGCCATAATTGTCAGACCTATGGCCACACGAAGACATATGGCCACCATCTGCTGCGTTGCGTGAAGTGCGGCGAACAGCACAAATCTGTAATGTGCACCATACCTATACAAGATCCAGCAGTATGTGCCCTATGCTTGGAGGGACACCCGGCCAACTACAAAGTCTGACAAATTTACAAGAATCTTAAAACCAGACACCAGAAAAACCGGATTCAAGATAAAGCATTAAGAACAAGAAGAGAGAGAGAGCCTTCCAGAATTGTAAACAATGAAGTATCATTCTCACAATTACTTAGAGGTAAGACTTCAACCGATAAATGTCCAGCCCTGCCACAACAACAACCTCAATCCCAACCTCAAAATCCTCTTCATCCTAATATACCTAACCATCAACAACAAATTCCCCCTCCTTCAAATGCAACAGATCTCACAAGTTTGTTAGCATCTTTTCTCACCGATTTGAAATTTCTTGTTACTCCCCCCCATATCTCACCCCCATATCCATTCTCCTTCGGAATGCGAATGGTGTTAGAAATCATACAGACGAACTATCTAATTACTGAAACTCGACTAACCACTAAACAGCACTTAAAAATACCACAATACCTGACATATCGTACTGACCACCCTGACAGAAAAGCACATGCCGGTACTGCTCTAATTGTACACCAATCGCTCTCCCATCACGTACTCCCATTACCTATACATGATTTCCTATAGTCCACCGCTATCGTGATAAAAATCTTCTCTTTTGCTGTTACTCTTGCATCAGCATATTGCCCTCCTAACCGATCCATATCCAATGCCCAATTCAGTTCTCTCCTCGACTCCTTAAGACATCACTTCATCTTGGGTGCAGACCTAAATGCCAAGCACCAACCATGGGGTTCCAGAACCACGAATTCTCGTGGCCGAACCCGGCTGCCTGCACTCAATTCCCAACGTTTTCACCTGCTTTCCCCTAACTCTCTTACCTACTGGCCCACAGATCCCAACAGTAATTCTGATCTTCTTGATTTCTTTATACACAGCGGTTTAAGTCCCCTCAATTGTTCCATTACACGTCTAAATGAACTTTCCTCTGACCATAGTTCTCTAATCCTTAATGTTTCACTTGAACCCGTTCCCAAACCTTCTCCAACCGTCATTTATTAGGGGCCCAGTTAACTGGGACCTTTACCACCAAATCATATCCGATAAAATTGATCTTAACATATCCCTCAAAACTCCCGATGAGCTTGATAGTGCCGTAAATCCCTTTACTACCACAATCCAACAAGCCGCCTGGACTGCCTCCTTCACAAAAGACTCCTCCAGAATTCCTAAAAAGACCATTTTACCCCAACACCTCCTTCACCTAATCCACACCAAACGCCGTGCCAGATTATTGTGGCAACGTACCCGTCATCCTACCGACCGCTGCTCCTATAATTATTACTGGAAAAAATTAAAACTGGAATTAGCCACCTTCAGATCACAATCCTTCAACTCCTACCTATCCTCCCTCTCTTCTCGCGACAATTCCCTTTGGAAAACCACAACAAAAATCCTAAATCCTCACCGCATTTCCCATCCTCTCCGACGAGGTGATGGCTCCTGGGCAGCATCTGACGAAGATAAAGCTGAGGAGTTCGCCATTCACCTATCCAATACATTTATTTCACATCCGGAATCCCATCCTGCCCACACCGTAACAGTAGAAGAACTCCTTACATCACCAATCCCACTTTCCTTGCCCCCAAAAGCTATTCATCCTTCCGAAGTAAAATTTCAATTAAAAAAACTAATCCTCCGTAAAGCTCCTGGACATGATCTCCTTACACCTCAAATCCTTCGACAACTTCCATCCAAAGCAGTCATATTCCTTACATATATCTACAATTGTATCCTACGCACCACCCACTTCCCTCTGTTATGGAAACACTCCACTATTATCCTTTTCCCAAAACCAGGAAAACCTCTCAATAGCTCAACATCCTATAGACCAATCAGCCTACTCCCAATCCTTTCAAAAATTTTTGAAAAGATCCTTTTGAAACGAATCCTACCCATTATAGAATCCCAAAATATCCCTTCCCATCAGTTTGGTTTTCGCTCTCAACATTCTACTGTTCAACAAGGACTCCGAGTTGTTGATCATATTTCCTCAGCCCTAGAAAACAAGGAATACTGTTCGGGTGCCTTTCTGGACATTGCACAGGCATTTGACCGGGTATGGCACTCCGGACTGCTCTCCAAGCTTAAAATCCATTTACCTCAGTCCTTGTACCTAGTCCTCCGATCCTACCTCTCTGACCGCTCCTTTCGAGTTCGCTGTGGAACAGAATTTTCCAATATCTACTCCGTTAAAGCCGGTGTTCCCCAAGGCAGCGTCTTGGGTCCCGTGCTTTACATCCTCTTTACTGCTGACATCCCTGTTCATCCCGATACTTTTCTTGCAACATTCGCTGACGACACCGCAATCTTATCATCCAACTCTGATCCCGAAATAGCATCCTTAAATCTCCAAAGTCATCTCACCTTGATTGAGCACTGGTGTAATAACTGGCGCATTAAAGTTAATGAATCTAAATGCCAACATATTACTTTACACTCCGACGCAATTCCTGTCCACCAGTACTCTTTAATTCCATCCAGCTTCCTTATTCAGACACAGTCCGGTATCTTGGCTTTCATTTAGACCGAAGACTAACTTGGAACCCGCATACTAGACTCAAAAGACAAGAACTCAACCGACGATACGGCCAACTATACCGACTACTAAGCAGAAAATCTAAACTTTCCATTGAAAACAAGCTACTGATCTACAAGACAATACTGAAACCTATTTGGACTTACGGACTTGAACTGTGGGGATCAGCAAAATTTTCTAACATCAAGCGCATCCATCCTTCCAGTCTAAAGTCCTTCGAACAATAGTCGATGCTCCTTTCTATGTATCCAACAAAACCCTACATCATGACCTTAACATCCCATTTGTCCTAGACCTTATCCCAGAAAAATTCTCCAAATTTCACCAGAACCTTACTTACCACCCAAATCCTCTTGCACAATCCCTATCAAGCATCTCCCATCCCTATAATCCTCCAAGAAGGTTGAAACGGCAGTGGCCTCGCGACCTTTTGTAGATTGTATAAATTGGAGTTCTGGCAATGGCCAGATTCTTCACTCAAGACATGTGTGTATGTGGCTAAAGTGCTCTCGACCAATCTCCGCTGGCTTTAGTACCAGTGACGCGGTTGGGAGAGTAGCGCAGGGTTCTCCTGGAGTTCCCTCGCCTGATTGTATATAGGTATGCATGTTTTTTTTTTTTTTTTCTTAGTTTTAATTTTCTTATTTTTTAGGTTATTTTATTTTATTGTCTATTGTATATACTTTTGATTATTATTTTGTTCTATTTATTTTATTTTTTTGTACATATAGTGTGAATGTCATCCTACCTCACTATAACCAATGTCCAAGAGACAGATTGTCATAATACTCAATAAAGAAAAAAAAAAAAAAAAAAAAGGTAAAAGTGATATGTTTGAATTTGGATTCATTTACTTGGATGCGCCACTTATTACATCAGTGTTCAATAAGTGAGAGGTGACTTTGTATATTTAAGGATGCTGTTTCAGGATCTGGCCTGGAAGACAAGATGGCTGTGTCATCAGCGAACGTTGTCAGAAGGGTTTCGGGATGAGTAGGAATATCAGCGGTAAACAGAATTTAGAGGACGGGACCCAAGACGCTGCCTTGAGGAACTCCCGCCTCGATTGAATGACAGTTGAAGGATTCTGTACCACTACGAACTTGAAAGAAGATGGTAAAAAGAAACCTCGAAGAATGGTTTCAAAATTGGAGGATTAAAATAAATTTCAATAAATTCAGTCAAATTACCTTTACCCTTCGTCGTAAAGCCATGACTTCCGGTCCTACAGTATCCTTTAATAATAACCCGCTTATCCCTGTTGAACAAATCCGATACCTTGGATTCCACTTAGACAAATGTCTAACTTGGAATCCTTATACCAGATAGAAAAGTCAAGAAACAGATCGATATTTACGACTACTCCCGCCCTTACTTGATAAACGTTCTAAGCTTCCAGTTAATTACCAAAGACTCATATACATGACTACAATAAGACTATTTGGACTTACGGAGTTGAGCTCTGGGGCTCCTCTAATCCATCGAATTCCTCTCTCATCCAATCCTTACAATCCAAAATCCTCACTGCTCCTTACTTTGTCACAAATAAAATCATCCATAACGACAATAATATTCTTTATGTTTCTGACCTGGCCCAATCCAGATACCTATCCTTTCTTAACAAACTTCAGAAACATCTAAACCCTTTCGTTTCTAATCTTGTTTCCTCTTCGATCTCTGATAGTTTTCACTATTCGCCGCAACGCAACAATCGGGTATAATTTAATTTTAATCAATTTTGAAATTCTTCGGGTCACCAGAGTCAGGAAAAGCCGGTCAAATTAATTGAAAGTTGTTGGTGCAGGGCAGAAAGGATAGAATAAAAATAGTGAAATTTGGATAAAAGAAACTATAAGAAAAGGTAAAATAATAAATGATATTTCATTTTAAAGCTCATGTAATTTCTACTTACTTAAGCTAACCTTCCCTTCACCGTTTTTGGGAACGTGGTCGTCATCTTCTGGTGACATCGTCTTATTCTGAAGGCTCCTCTGCCCGCCGTCGTGAAGTTTTCTCATTTGTTTTTTATGTTTCATCCTTCGATTTTGAAACCATGTTTTCACCTAAAATATGGTTTTTATATTGAGTTCTCTCTACAATCAATTAATATATCCAATCTTACAAATACTACTTTTTATCTCTTCATGAAAATAATTCAAGTAATTAGCAAGTTTATTTATCCTCTTATTTTTATATTATTATTTTTTTATATATTTTAAATAATATTATTATTCAATATTATTATACATATTATTATATTATTATATATTATATGTATAAATATATATATATATATATATATATATATATATATATATATATATATATATATAAAGGGTGTCCCGTAAGTAGTGGGAAATTTTAAAGAAGTGACAGCACATTTACAAAAAAGTTCATATAAACAATGGGTAATATTTGCAACAGAATAGTAGGAATTCCAAGTTTTGTATTTTTTAAAGTATATCATGTTTATTGTTGAACAGGAAGCGATAACTAAAGAAATATTTAATATAAGTAATTAACAATTGCGTCACTGTAAACTAGACAATGTAGCCCTAATATTAATGCCCTCCAATGCGGCAGAATGTATTAATTTTCAAATAAAAAAAAAAAAGTAAAACTTGACAAAATTTACTTTAAATGAAAGTGGTGTTCATATTTGGTAAAACCATTTAAAGAGGACTTTTGAGCGTCTAAACTAAGGTATGTTCTGTTTTTAAAAATATCATACATTATTCGGAATTTTTTTATCATCATCCAAATGTATTATAGATACCCCAAGTTTAGAAAAACATGCACTTTTGATAAGCTTTAAGTCCATATTAATTAAATTGAGGTTTCCTAGGGAAAAACTTGAGATTAACCTGGAGATATATAAAACAACGATGCGATTTTTTGCTTTTGTTTATTATTTTTCCATGATTTGGGTGGCATTAAAATACAATTTTTATTTTTTATTTTTTTATTATTTGATAATTAATACATTCTACCGCATTGGAGGGCATTAATATTAGGGCTACATTAAACATTCACACAGTATATACATACAAATGATAACTAAAATAGAGATAAAAGAAAAAGAGTTGTGGAAAGTAAAATAAGAAAATTAACATACATAGGTAAAAAATAGTTCCACATATTTACAAAAGGTCGCCGGGCCACTGCCGTTTTAACCTCCGGGGAGGATTGTAGAGATGGCTGGAGTTAGATAGGGATTGTGCTAAAGCATTTGGATGATGAGTGAGTTTCTGGTGAAATTTGGAAAATTTATAATACAAATAATTACCTAAATACACCTTTTATTTGAAAAGAAATAAAATAATGGTTTTTGAATATTTTTTTGAAACTGTGTTTTTCTCACAGATCTCTGTTATAGGAATTGATTTGTATTCATAAGTGACAATTATAATGTTTCTGACCCTAATATTTACGTTTTAATGAAAATAATTTAATAAATCAGCTGGTTCTTTTGTTGTTTACGTAATTTTTACTACTAGAAACATTAATTTTGTCACTTATAAATACAGATCAATTCCTATGACAAAGATCTGATAGGAAAAACTCAATTAATATGCAATTAAATATTATTAAATAGGAATATTTTTCTGAAAGAGGGGTATCTGTAGTATAGTTGGATGATGATCAAATAAAATCGCAAATAGTTTATAATTAAAAAAATGTCTTAACAATGCTAAACACAAAAAAAAAAAAAAATGGAAAATCAATACACATAGATTAAAAATGTCTTTCATCAAGCAGCTCTATAGGCATTTGGAATAAAGGAGAGACGTGTGTCAATAGATAAATAATGGCGGGATGAACAAGTGGCAGTAGCAGTTAAATAAAAGGAGGAATTATATAAAAAGTGGCTTTCCCACCAAGGTGAAACGGAAAGCTATAAATGAGTTATGGAATATGTTGGTCGTTGCATGTACGGGCAGAAGCCTGTGGAAGCGTGGAAAAACATCAGGTCATTGGAATCCAAAGCAGAGAAATGTTAAAATTGGTCTCATAAAGGAAAAACGATGAGTAGAGTACGCAATGTTATAGACAGAGGATCGAAAGGAATTCATAATAGAAGAAACGAAATATTGTACAAAATTATATTGTACATTAAAGAACATGGAAAATGTAAAATCAGTGGGATCAGAAAACATATCCATAGAATTAATCAAATATGGACCTAGTGAACTTGAAAAGAAACTGGCCGAGCTCATGTCATTTTTCACAAAACAAGGAACAGTTCCAAGCCAATGGAGGGAGGGTCATATCACTCATATTTATAAAAAAAACAAAAGGGAGTAAAAGGTTGTGTTCAAATTGCAGAGGGATCACAGTAACCAGTAGCTTAGGTAGATTATAGGGAAGAATAATAAATAAGAGATTAATAGAAGAGCCTAATAATATAATATTGTGAGGAAGAAGCCGGATGTAGAACTGCTAGTATAGATCCTCTATAGATCATATAGCTATTTACACTAACGCAACCTAGAGACATATTCAAAGCCCATAATAAGTAGATAAATTTAATATTTGTTGCTCTACAAAAAGCATATGATGCAGTATGTTGTATGCCAGTTCCTATTAAAACATATGTTATAATTAATTTGCATTAGAGTATAGCAAGTTACATTCAACGTGCGTAATAAAGAAGATAGGCAGTTCTGAGCATGCGCTAGATTATAATAAACCACAGTTACCTCGTCTCTTAGATATATTCACTTTTTCTTGGAAAATTAGTGTTATTTTTTAATTAAATTGTGACTACACGTGAGCTAAACACCTGGACTATAATGTGCACGTATGCCACAGTGAGTACAGTTGTTATGCATTGTGTACAATCCTTATCCATGTTAGTCTTTTGTCTAGAATAAAGCCAAGATACCGGACTGTGTCGGACAGAGGAAGTGGTATGGAGTTGAAGTAGACTGGTGGACAGAAATTGCGTCGAAGTGTAAAAGTAATATGTTTGGATTTGGATTTATTTACTTGGATTCGCCACTTATTACACCAGTGTTCAATAAGAGAGAGGTGACTTTGTAGGTTTAAGGATGCTATTTCAGGATCTGGATTGGAAGATAAGATGGCTGTGTCATCAGCGAATGTTGCCAGGAGTGTTTCGGGATGAGTAGGAATATCAGCGGTAAACAGAATGTCGAGGACGGCACCCAAGACGCTGCCTTGAGGAACTCCCGCCTTGATTGAATGACAGTTAGAGGATTCTGTACCATAGCGAACTTGAAAGGAGCGGTCAGAGAGGTAGGATCGGAGGATAAGATATAAGGAATGGGGTAGATGGGATTTGAGATTGAAGAGCAGTCCGGCGTGCCATACCCGATCAAAAGCTTGCGCAATATCCAGGAATGCCCCCGAACAATACTCTTTGCTTTCTAGGGCTGAGAATATGTGGTCAACAAGTCGGAGTCCTTGTTGGACAGTGGAATGTTGGACTCGAAATCCGAATTGGTGGGTTGGAAGGTTTTGGGATTCTATTATGGGTAGGATTCTTTTTTTTCTTTTTTTTTTTTTTACCAATGTATGTTAAACTCTTTTTCTTTTATCTCTATTTTAGTTATCATTTGTATGTATATATTGCGTGAATGTTTAATAGAGCTCTAATATTAATGCCCTACAATGCGGCATTGAATGTATTAATTTTCAAATTAAAAAAATAAAAAATAAATAAATAAAATAGTAACTGTATCTGTATTTCTTTTGCACATAATGAATAAAACGTTCCTTATTTGTATCAATCTCTATTTTGAAAATTTATAGATGTGAATTAGTGAGAGAATATAATTTAGAATAAGATGTATCTAAGTTTATATTCATGTATATTTGTGTATTATGTAGATGTATTTATATTTAAAAAGAATTTTTAGTTAAAATTAAGATTTTTTTTTAAAATTAAGCAGATAATATTGCAATTGGGAATTAGCTATATTAAAACTGTGAATTCTTAAAAGATAATATATCTCTACGAATAAACTATGCCAACACCCCGACAGACGAACATTAGTTCATTGTCGATAAATCGTTTAATTATATTTTTTTAAAAATACGATATTATGTACTTTATAAACAAATAAACGCTTCTATCTATCTATGTATCTATCTATTTTGAACATTACAAAGTTACAATAAAGTGGCGATGAGGATAAATTGAAATTCGTTCTGTAGATATTTTGTTTAACTAATTTATTTTCGACATGAATCCAGAAATGAAAACTGTTTTGGCCATCTTAACCGCTGCTTTGCACCAAAACATTGAAATTCTACAATTTATGAAGGCAAATTAAGCGCCACAACCTGTCAATTTTGAATATTATGATGAGCCAAAAGAAACATTTCGTCAATATCACATAAGACTCGACAATTGGTCTGCTTTGAATGGCTTACAAAATGATAATAGTCTTATTTTCAAAGAACTTTTACTTCACATTGGTCCCCATATACTTGGAGTTTTATGCTCACTAACTTCCCCAGAAAATACAGTCAACACGACCTATGACAGGTTAGTTAACAACTTAGAAGAAATTCTTTGCCCCAAACCTAATATAGTGGTAGAACAACATCTCGAATACAAAATGAATTCGAATCTATAAGTTAATACGTAACTTAACTACGGCAAATAGCTAATGTAAATATTAGAAAAATATTGCAAACATTTTCTTAAGGGCACAATTTATTCGCGGATTAATGAGCAAAAATATTCGGGAAAATTGCTACAATTGTCAGAGGCAAGATTTGAAAAAATAGCCGAAACGGCCTAGGTTACGAAGCGGCAAAAATCGATAGTCAAGAAATAACAGACAATTTAGCAATTTCCACAAGTTTAATGATTATTCGTATTTCTCAGCACCAATCAAGATCAGATGACTGAAATTTATACTGTGCCTTTTCCTTCTTACACTCACGCTCTTTTTCAACCACTTGGATACCTCATAGTTTGAATCGAATTTGAGAGTCAATTTTTGGATGGATTATTATTTATTGTGGCAAACCATCTTAGCCTAATTCTAGGAACAATTTGGATAAGACGTCTGAATGATCATAATAGATCGA